AAAACAAACTTAAAGGATCCACGAACTTGGTAAGGAATTCAGCCAAAACCAATTCTGATGCGTATCCGATGCGATGGTGTGCCGCACCTCGATGTTCCATTATATGATGTGCTATGCTGCGTGCTCTAGCGGCTCTAACGTGGTGCTTATTTTTCGCCTGAGACTTACTCGCAATACACGGTTTCCCTCCCTCTGGGGCCTCCAGAGGCATCTTGGGGCCTCATCATCATCATCATCATCATCATCATCATCATCAGCAGCAGCAGCAGCAGCAGCAGCAGCAGCATCATCATCATCATCATCATCATCATGAGTCTCCCCCCTAGCTCCTAGCTTAGTGTTTGTCCTCAGTCTGCTCCTGCTCCTCCATGCTCTTCATTTTTCGTTAGTTTTTTTTTCCCCCGCATCCTTCTCACTCCTGGCTCCTCGCCCCTTCTCACTCCTGGCCTCCTCCTCCTCCTCCTCCTCTTTCTCCTCCTCATCTTGCTCTTCCTCCTCCTCCATTCCTTCTACCTCGTGCCCTTTTTGTCGGCGCGCGCGAGGCCAACTTGGAATCTTAGAATCCTCTGTTCCTTCTCCTTCTACATACTTATATCTTCCCTGTCACCCCGGGGCCAATCAGAAGGGCGGGACGGGCGTTGTGCTTGAAACTTCTTTCACCATACAGGATCCTGAATCCCAACAACTTGCAACAGTTTCACACATCGAGGGCGGGTGGTTTTCGAAATGTGGCCCTCGCTTTAGCGCCGCGCACATTCGATGTACGTAGAATGTTGATCGGGTTTTGCATGTTGAGGGCGGTTGGTTTTCAACATGTGTTGGTTCTCGCATTAGCGCCGCGCATCGCCTTTCTAACAAGTTGCGAGAGCTTCACGGATTGAGGGCGGGTGGATTCAAATTTAGACCTCGCTTTAGCGCCGTGCAAATTCGCTTAAACAAGTTGCAATATTTTCACGGATTGAGGGCGGGTGATTTGCAAAATGTGGTTATTGCATTAGCGCCGCGCGCTTTCTTTTAATCAAATTGCAAGAGTTTCACGGATTGAGGGCGGGTGGCTTCAAAATGTGGTTCTCGTTCTAGCGCCGCGCACACTATAATTGTTAACGCTTCGCGTATCCCCACCAGGCTTAGTTCGCGCCCCGGACTTTGCTCTTGCCGCCTGACCGTCGTCTCGCGGCCGCGACCGAAAAAAGTATCCCCACCAGGGGACGGACCAACATCCAGCGCAACCTGAGGTCCACGCAGGACCCCACCCTCCCTCGGCTTTTACTACCTTCGAGGGACCCACCCACCATTTCATTGTCTTGAGCGGCGATCAGCTGCGACCCTGGAGGAACCAATAGCCACTTCCCCTGTCCCACGGGTGTGGGGCCAGACCGAGGGGAGGGGCGGCGTTCCCCCCGCCTCTCCCCTCTGGGGCCAGGCGGGTGTCATCCGCTCTTGGCCCCGGGGCCCGCCAGACGTACTGTCCGACGTCGGTGTTGAGGCCCCCCTTCCCTGGGCCGCCCGTGTCCCTCGCTGTACGTGGTTTGTCTCATCACTCTCAGCGGCGGTTAGCTGCGACCCTGGAGGACCAAGTGGTGTTTGTTGACGCTCCGGGAGCTCGGGCGGAAGTGCCAGCGGCGGGCTGGGTCTGACTTTGCGTCCGATGGCCCTCGTGTTTGCCACCGTGCAGCTCCCCCCAGGAGCATCGCCCTATGACATCGGCACGCCCCGCTCGCATTGGCGCCACGTGCTCCGTGAGATACAGTTCGACCTGTTCTCTTGGGGACCCACCTGCTCTGGTCCTGTTTCGCCGTCAGGGCACGTCCACCACCCGTGCAGCTCCCCCTACTCTTCCTCGCTGGCGATGCTGACCACGCCGGCGGGCTTCCCCCCCACTCAGTGGCCCTGCCTTGCCGGCACGCGCCGCGTGGCTCACAGTCGCTCGGTTCCCCCTTGCGCTGTGGGGTGGTCCGACATGGGCTGGCTTTAGTGCAGAGTGGTACAGCCTTCCGCAGCAGGTACAGTCCTCCGGGCCCACCTTCAGCTCCCCCAGTTTCGTTGCACCACGGCCCACGGCTGCTCAGCCTTTCTGGCTAGTTCAAGTCGTCACGGCGTTTGGAGCCTGGCGCCCCACTGGCGACTCACTCCAATGGCCTCTTGCCAGCACACAGAATGACGGACTTGACCATCGTGGTCCACAAGTCTACTGTATGGGTTGCGCCATGGCAAGCACTGAATTCCGAGACACTTTGTCCTGTGCGCGTGCTCGAGCTTGCAGGGCGCCGTCCGCCGTCAGCTCCTCCTCTTCAGCTTCGCGGCTGCTGTCTGAGTGGGCCGGCCAGCTTGCGCCTGTCTTAGCTAATTTGCCTAGTTCGCGTCCCGGACTTTGCTGTTGCCGCCTGACCGTCGTCTCGCGGCCGCGACCGAAAAAGTATCCCCACCAGTCAGCTGTAGTTTAGGCAACAGCCCTGCTCCACGTAGGCTTAGTTTCGCTCGATTCTGACGCCGCGCTGCTGTCCGCTATCGGTTGCGAACAAAAAAGCATCCCCACCAGTCCCCGAGCCAACTCTGCTGACGCTGCCGGCGCCTTCGCCTGCGACCGCGACGGAAAAGTATCCCCACCAGCCCATCAAGAAACGATGCCCAGGGGAGTTGGGGTGATCGGGGAGGTGGGGGAGCATGCGGAATAACAAAGGGCGGGGGAAGCGGTCCGATACCCCACGAGGGGGAGGATGGTGTAGGAGAAGGTGGAGGATGGCGAAGAAGAGGAAGGAGGAAGATACAGTGGACAAGGAGGAGGAGGAGGAGAAGGAGGAAAAGGAGGAGGAGGAGTAGGAGGAGGAGGGGGAAAAGGAGGAGGAGGAGGAGGAGGAGGAGGAGGAGGAGGAGGAGAAGAAGAAAAAGAAGAAGGGGCATCCTGGCGAGCCCAGGGCCGTTTTTGAGCGTCTTGGCGTCTTGGGCGCCTCGGAGATTTTCTTGAAGCCTCTTGGGGGCCTCCTGGGGGCCTCTTGGAAGCTTCCTGGGCGCCCCTTGTGGCCGTTTGGGCGCCTCTTGGGACCATGTTTGGGCGCTCTTGGGGGCCTTAGGAGCGCTCTTGGGGCCATCTTGGAGGAGATCGATCAAACCCCCCATCGGGAGCTCCACACATCGCCTTCGGGGGCGCTCTTGGGGCGCTGTTGGAGCGCTATTGGGCAGTCTTGGGGCTCTCTTGGGCTTCTCCTGGGGGTCTCTTGGGCCATGTGGAGCCATCTCGAGGCCTCGGATGACCATCGGAAGCGAAAAGGCGAGACAGCACAACTCATTGTTATTCCTGAGGTTTTTGGAAGGATGTTGGCCTCTTCGGGGCCTGCTTGGGGGGCTCTTTGGCCACTTGGAGCCATCTTGGAGCGGTGTGGGGGCCTCTTGGAGCATCTTGGGAGCCATCTTGAGGCACCTTGGGATATTTTGAGCCATCTTGGAGCTCATCTTGGGCTCTCCGAGGCCATCTTGGAGCCATCTTGGGCCATCTTGGACGCTCCCATCCCTCGGGGGGGACCCTCTCCAGGTCCAGGGGAGGGGTATGGGGGAGGGGTCAAGGCTACCCACCCGCCCGCAAGCCGTCTAGCTCACCCCCACCCGTCCTCCCAACACATGAGTAACACCCGAGTCTGAGCATTTTCAGCGGCCGTCTTTGGATGGGCAGCTACTGGGACCACGTTCGGGGCACGTGCGGAGTGCGTCAGGTGTGCCTGCGCACGTGACAGCACACATCGGGAAACATGGCGGCCCCCGCCATCCTTGTCGAAAACCAATGCCCATCATTGTGCTTAGTGGGCCTGCGCACAACAGTTCACGCGACACCACCCCCGCCGTCCTTGAAAAAAACGCTGGACGGTGATCGCGGGATGGCCGCGCACTCTCCAGATTTGACCGCGAGGTGCATGTTGCATGGTTTTTTCAGGGACGGTAGCCCTGCGCGCAGCAGGGGATATGCTGACACCCCCCGCAAGCTTCGGAGAAGGCCGGGGGGGGCGGGGCGAGGGGGAGGAAGAGGGAGGAGGAGGAGGAGGAGGAGGAGGAGGCATGATGAGGAATGAGGAGGGGCGAGGGGGAGGAAAGAGGGGAGGAGGGAGGAGGAGAGGAGGAGGAAGAAGAGGAGGGGGAAGAGGGAGGGAGGAGGCGAGGAGGGCGAGGGGAGGGGGCGGGGCCCTCCGAGCCCCACGGAGGGCCCGGGGCATCCGACGCCTCTCGACTCCTTCGAGGCGCGGCGGGGCCCCCCCGACCTCCCGACCGCTTCCCCGGGGGCCGGCCTCCTCCTCCTCCTCCTCCTCCTCCTCCTTCTCCTCCTCCTCCTCCTCCTCCTATTCCACCTTTCTTCCTCCTCCTCCTCCTCCTCCTCCTCCTCCTCTCCTCCTCCTCCTCCCTCCCCTCCTCCCCTCCCTCCTCCCCTCCCCGCTCCTCCTCCCGGGGGGCCTTCCGCGTGGACGGCCTCCCGCGGCCCGGCGGGGGCCCCGAGAGGCCTAGAGCTAGGAGGAGCCTCCGCCTCGATCTCTTCGAGGCGCCCGATGTCTGGGGAGGCCCGGCCCGGCCTCACTCACTCCCCGCCCCCCCCCACCTCCCGCCCGCCGATTGGCGCGCCCGCCCTCGGTGCAGGGCCGGGCCGCTCCTCGCCCTGCTTTGGCTTATTTTCCAACTTAAAATGGCGTTGGAAATCCACCTATAAGAAGCCGAAAAAGGTAGGGCGGGGTGCGCACTCGGCAGCGGCGCCACGCCGAGCAGAGCGAGGCCAGGGCCACCTGGGCGGTGCGCGCAGGCCAGGCGCTCCCAGACCCCCCCCTGACTCCGGATCCGCCCTACTTTGGGGAAATTGATTCGTAAGTAGGGCTTGGAATTTCCGCCTTACTCTTCAAGCCCCGCTGATGCCGATTTCCGCCCCCTACCTCTGTGGATTTCCGCCCTATTTTCTAAGTTGGGTGCAGGAATTTCCGCCCTACTTCTTCGGCTCCTTATAGGTGGATTTCCGACGCAATTCTAAGTTGGTAAAAAAGCCAAAGTAGGGCGGATCTGGAGTCAGGGCAGGCGCTCCCAGACCCCCTCGCGCGGCGAACAAAAGTCACGACGGGAGGTTTTTCGCTGCTCTCGGCCTCCCTGGGGCCCTCCTCAGAGATCCGACGTCGTGATTTTTTCCATGCGGGGTCCCCGGAAGTCTCGACCCATTCCCAGGACCGGTTTTCCATCCTGAGTCGTTTTTTGACGACCCCGAGGCCCGGCGAGGGCCCCCAGGGGCCGACATTTGAGAAAAAACTCCGTCTTGATTTCTTCAATACTTCGGATGTCTGGGAAAAACGATTGAGGAGGAAAAACCGGTCCCGGGGAAAGGGTCCCTGAAGTAACTGCATCGTCGGATCCTCGTTCGGGCCACGGCTCGTGGCATGAGTCTGCCTGTTGAAGGTCGGACCCTCCAAGACAAGCCATTTCAGACCTCCCCCGCGGGAGAACCCTCCAGAACATCGTCCCCAGACCCCCCAGGCCCTCCAAGATAGCCTGGAAGAGACCCCCCCCCGAAATGAGACCCCCCTCCCTTTATTCCGAAATCTGGAGCAGCCTAGCGACCGCTTCATTCGCGATGTCGACTGGGCACCCGTGGGTGCTGTGCCAGGAAGCAGGCCTCCTGGTGGCTCCGATTTTGTTCGACGCGTGGGCCCCAGAGGTCCGGGGACAGCTTCTCCGCGGGGCCAGTTGTTCGTCCTCAAGTCGTTGTTTGACGCTCCTCCTCCTCCTCCTCCCTCCTCCTCCTCCTCCTCCTCCTCCTCCTCTCTCCCCTCCCCCTCCTCCTCTTCCTCCTCCTCCTCTCCTCCTCCTCCTCCCTCCTCCTCCTCCTCCTCCTCCTCCTCCGCCTCCTCCCTCCTCCCCCTCCCCCTCCTCCTCCTCCTCCTCCTCCTCCTCCTCCTCCTCCTCCTCCTCCTCCTCCTCCTCCTCCTTCTCCTTCTCCTTCGCCTTCGCCTTCTCCTCCCGAGGCCAGGCGAGGGCCCCTGGATGGGCCGAGAACTGTCAAACACCGCCCGCTCGAACTGTCACGGAGCGTCGGGCCTCAGGACGAAACGGACTCCGCGATCTGCTCCTCCCCCCAGGGGGGTCTGGCCGTCCGGGTCCGCCACAGGCGCCAAGAAGGACGGCGGCGACGCGGCCCGGGGTGACATCGTGGTCTTCTTCGACTGCCATGTGGTGCCCTCGGGGAGCGCGGCGGGGGGGCGGGCGCAGGAGGCGGAGGACGGAGGGAGAGGGGGGGAAGGGGGGGGGAAGGGGGGGGGAAGGAGAAGAAGGGAGGGACAGAGGAGGAGGGGAGGGAGAAGGGAGGAGGAGGGGGAAAGAGGCAGTGTGGGGAGAGGACAAGGAGGCGGAGGAGGAGGAGGAGGAGGAGGAGGAGGAGGAGGAGGAGGAGGAGCAGGAGGAGGCGAAAGGGGAGGTGAAGAATGGAGGAAGAGGATGAGGACGAAGGGGAGACGGAGGAGACTCACCCGGCGAGTTCCATGGGCGCCTTAAGGCTGGAGGGGAGGAGGAGGAGACCGAGCGCGATGTTGAAGCGGGGCCGCCCAACATCCATGCAGCTGCCGCTCGTCGGAGGCCTCGGGGCACGCGGGTAGTTCTGCTCCGGCCTCGGCGGCGCCTGGCGCCGAAGCCATGGCGGCCTCCGCCGGTGCACCCCTCTCACGTCGACGCAGGTTAGGCGTCCAGCCACAGGTTTGAGGTCGGGCCCGTCCGTCCTTCTACAGGAGGAAGATTCAAAAACAGTCAAAGCATAGTCATGGGGACGATGTTGAAAGCATGCTTGAGCCATTTGGGGTATCTTTTGACTCTCATTCATGTTTCGCTTCGCCCAAAGTCCCGCTGTAGGGGGACACGCCCGACCTAACACAAGCTGGAAGTACTGTGCGGGCGAAGGGCTCGGTCTGCCCCGTAGACTCTACACACCCGCCCCTGACTCCGGATCCGCCCTACTTTGGGGAAATTCTTAAGCAGGGCTTGGAATTTCCGTCTTACTTTTCAAGCCCCGCTGATGCCAATTTCCGCCCTACCTTTCTGTTGCTGTGTCCGCCCTGCTTCTGTGGATTTCCGCCCTATGGTATGTTGGGTGCACACATTTCCGCCCTACTTTTTCGGCCTCTTATAGGTGGATTTCCGACGCAGCTTTACGTCGGAAAAAAAAAACAAAAGTAGGGCGGGTCTGGAGTCAGGGCAGGCGCTCCCAGACCCCCTCGCGCTGCGAGCAAAAGTCACGACGGGAGGTTTTTCGCTGCTCTCGGCCTCCCAGGGGCCCTCCCCAGTGAGCGACGAAATCTATACATATCCACTGCTCCCTGACCATGCCCATCTTGAACCCAGGAGCTGTGTATGCGCCCTCCTGGCCAAGCCAGGAGGGCGTGGCGTATACACCGCTGCGGGGTTGAGGATGGGCCTGGCCTGGGAGCAGTGGATATGTATAGATTTCGTCGCCCTAAGTGAGGGCGCGCGCGGCTGGCGGGGCGGCGGCGTGGAGTCGACCGCCCCCCCTCGCACAGCCCCTTTGTGCGCGCCGCCGACGCGCGGGCGGGGACGCGGGGCACCTGCTCCGCCCGGAGGGCCCCCTGCCGCTCCTCGTCGTGCCCGCTCCCCTCTCGGAGCCTCGCGCTCGAGCCTCGCCCTCGAGGGCCGTCCTCGAGCCTCGGCCTCGCTTTCCTCGTCCTCCTCCTCCTCCTCCTCCTCCTCCTCCTCCTCCTCCTCCTCCTCCTCGCTTTCCTCGTCCTCGCTTTCCTCGTCCTCGCCCAGCCTCAGCGGGGGCGCGCTGCCTATGCGCCCAGAGCTTCCAAGCGGGGCCCGAGCAGGTGGGGTCGGAGGATCGCGCTGCGTCGCCGAGCCATCGCCGATGCGGTTCGATGTGGAGCCCGACTTTCTCCACGCCGACGTCACTGCTGCATCGCCGACGTCGCCGACGCATCCTCCGACCCCATCCACCTTTGGGGGGCCTCTACGTCGCACCGTACGGTCAGGAACCTTTGCTCGGGGTGTCGCTCCGCCGCTCCTGGCCCACCGCGCACGCGCCGGCGCGACGCGCTGAGCACGTCCCGGCTACCGAGCACCAGCGTCCCGAGCTTCTGTCGCGGGCGGCCAGGGGGGGGGTCGTTCAGGGGGTGAGGACATCACGGCGGGGGCCATGCTGTCTCCCCAGATTTCCGCTCCGAGCAGGTCCCCTGGTCCGCCCCCCCTCGTCGGGGCACGTGCATGGGGCCACGACCTGCGAGGCCCCCTTTTGGGCGCCGCCCCGTCTGGTCGCCCCCGATGCTCCCAGGGTCTTCCGACCCCACGAAAGCAGTGAGCGACACGCTGCGCGTCAGCTCGCAGGGCGCCGCATCTCGCGGGGGCCGCCGCCGCGGCACGCTGAGCAAGAGTTCCTGGCCGCAGCTCGCCCTCGGGTGCCATCTGCAGCAGCCCGTCCCCTGGTCGCAGATCTCGGGCCGTCCTGAAGCCATCCTGGGCTGTCTAAGAGGCCATCCCGGGCTGTCTTGGAGACTGTGCTGGGCCATCCCGTCGGCATTGGTGGTCTGCCTGGGCCATCTTGGAAGCCATCTTGGTCGTCTTCGGCTCCTTGGAGAGCGCCAGGGGCGTGCCTGGGCCCCCGACATCATTCCTGTGGCTCCAACAGGGACCCCAGGGAACGGGACTTTTGAGACGACCGAGGCCGATTTCTCAAGTCCGCTCGGCTTCGCCCACAAGGTCACCGCATGACGCTTTCACCCGCACGACTCGAAGTCTCAGATGCAACGCCCCCAGACATCCGACGTCTCGATTTTTTCGAGCCGCGGGCCCCCGACCTCCCGACCACTTCCCCAGGACTGGTTTCTCATCCCGAGTCGTTTTTGACGGTCCCGAGGCCCGGCGAGGGCCCCGAGAGGCCAAAAACAATGAAAAACCTCTGTCCCGATTTTTTCGAGACGCCCGATGTCTGGGCCGCGGTCTCAGAAGTGAATTTCGCGGGCGCTCCTTTCTGGGAAAAGAATCCATCATGCTTTTCACAGCGTTGACCTCCCAGAGGCGGGCCGAAACCGGCGCGCCGGGCCCCACGTGTGTGGTCGTGGCCCCGGCGCTGGGCCCCCGGACCCGGTCCCCCGTTATAGATGTGTATACGGGTAGCTTTTCCTCCTCGAGGGAGGGAGCAGATTGGGCTCCTCCTCCTCCTCCTCCTCCTCCTCCTCCTCCTCCTCCTCCTCCTCCTCCTCCTCTTGCTTCGACGCCCGCGCGCCGTCCCACCAGCTTTTCGTCCCGAGTCGCTTCTTGACGGCCCCCCGGGCTCGGCGAGGGCCGCAGAGAGTTCCCCAAATCCTCCCGCCGCCATTGATACATCGCGGCGCTGCCCAGACATACGAATATCAGGAGGGGAAAAATCACACAGACGCGATATTCCCCAGAAAATATGGGAAAATATGGGAAGTGGGGGGGAAGACAAAAACCCAGAAAATATGGGGAAATAGGGGGAATCCTGTTATTTGTCTCTATTTATGCGTGTGTCCCTGGGCCCCGTCATAATACTACATGTACGTCGCCCCCAAATGGGCGACGCGCGCGCCGAGGAATCTTGCAGTGTATGCTCCGTGGCGGGCACTTTCTGGCCGTACCGCTTGGGAAACGATATGCTACATGATGGTTGTATTAGGGTCGGACGCACACTTCCGAGGAGGAAACGTCGTACTATTATGTCCATGCGCGCCCCACTACGCGACCCGAGGGGAGAGCAGGCTGCTACGCAGGACATGAATGCTAATGAGAGCGGCCAGCGATGATGAGGCTACGATGCCTTTAAAAAAAAATTGAGCCGGCGATGATTCCCACTCGTGCACACCCGGTCCCGTCTTCAGGAATATCGCATCCCCCCTTATGATGGTGGGATGGAAAGACGGGCCGCAACCCCCCTGGCACTGCACGTACGCTGCCAGGTTCGTGGGGATTTGCCCCCGCGGCCCCGATGATGGAAGTTGCGGAGGGTGTGAGGCCTCATATGGCGGTCCTCACTGGCGAGGCCTACGACCCGGACTCCCGTCTTCACGATTTTTCTTAGCGCCGACCCCCAGAGGTCTCGACCTGTTCCTTGGGACCGGCATCTCCTCCTGAGTCGCTACCGACGGCCCCGAGGCCGGGCATGAGGGCCCGCAGAGGCAGAACACAGCGAAAAATTCTCCCTCCTGTTTTTTTTGTTCAGGACCCGAGGGGGTCTGCGGCGGGTGGAGGGACCCTCCTCCTCCGTGGGACCCCCTCCTGCTTCGTGAGGCCCCCTCCTGCTTCGTGGGGCCCCCCCTCCTGCTTCGTGGGATCCCTGACTCTGGATCCGCCCTACTCTGGGGAAATTCGTAAGTAGGGCTTGGAATTTCCGCCTTACTTTTTAAGCCCCGCTGATGCCAATTTCCGCCCTACTTTTCTGTTGCTGTTTCCGCCCTGCTTCTGTGGATTCCCGCCCTATTTTACGCAGGGTGCAGAAATCTCCGCTCGACTTGTTCCGGCTTCTTATATAAGTGCATTCCCGACGCAATTCTAAGTTGGAAAAAATGCCAAAAAAGTAGGGCGGATCCCTCCTGCTCCTCCTCCTCCTCCTCCTCCTCCTCCTCCTCCTCCTCCTCTCCTCCTCCTCCTCCTCCTCCTCCTCCTCCTCCTCCTCCCCCTCCTCCTCCCCCCCCTGCTGAGTCAGGGGATGCCCTCCTGCTCCGCGAGGCCCGCTCCTCCGGTGCAGGGGCGGGCCCCGCTCCTCCCGGGGCCCCCCGCCGGCTCCGCGCCTGCCCGCGGCCTCGCCGCGCGAACCCCGCGCGGGCCTCCTCCGCCGCCCCCGCGCCGCCGCGGCCCCGGCGCGGCGGCCTCGACGCTCCGGCCGCGGGGGCGGGAGGGCCGTCCGCCCGGCGCCCCCCGACGCGGCCGCGCTGTGGAAGGCAGCGGGGCCCCAGAGATCCAGCGCACTGAAGAAATCAAGACGGAGCTTTTTCGCCGTTTTCGGCCTCCCGAGGCCCTCGCCGGGCCTCGGGAGCGTCAAAAATCGCCTCAGGACGTCAAGCCGGTCCTGGGGAATGGGTCGAGACTTCTGGGGACCCCGTATTGAAAAAATCACGACATCGGATCTCTGGGGCAGGAGGTCCCCTGGGCCAGGGCAGGTCCCCTGGGCCAGGCCCCCCTGCCCCTGCCTCTCTCCCTCTGGAGGCGGGGGGAGGA